GGTCACAAGCTAGCAGAGGGTAGGTTTAGGTTAGACATCAGAAGGCGCTATTTCACGGTCAGGGCGGCTAGGGTCTGGAACCAACTTCCAAGGGAGGTGGTGCAGGCTCCTACCCTGGGGGTTTTTAAGAAGAGGTTAGATGAACACCTTGCTGGGGTTGTTTGACCCCAGTACTCTTTCCTGCCATGGCAGCGGGTCGGACTAGTTGATCTTCTCAGGTCCCTTCCGACCCTAGAAACTATGAAACCTGAAATAAAGAGTTGAATGTCAGGAATTAGGGCTGTGCAAAGCTTTGGTCGCTGATTTGATTTGGCCTGATTCGGTGGCCAAATCTCCAAATCCAATTCGAATCAGGAGACCCTTTAATCTCTCCGAATCGAATCGGAACCATCCAAATCAATTCAGAGAGGTTCAGAAAGATTCTAAAATTCGAACACAGGCACAGCTTTAAATGTTTTTTCTACATACTGCAAGATACCAGGCGGTTTGTGAATGCTGAGATGGTGGGGCAGATGGAGTGTCTCACAGGAGTGTGGGGGGTGTCCCCAGTGCACTTGGCAGCAGACCCAGAAGAGGCCCAGAAGCACTTCTGGGCCACTTCTGGGTCTGTGCCAAGTGCTCCCCCAGACTCACTGACTGGTGCCTCCTGAGTTTGGGGTAGCACCTGGGGTCCCCTTGCAGCTGATCGCCATTTGGCGGTGGATGTGAAAGTGGACCAGAATTACTTCCAATCCACTTACAGGTTTGCTGCTGAGCACGTGGGGAGGGCTCCCCCATGCTCCTGTGGGATTCTCCATCTGTCCCAGCATCTGTGTTCATAAGCCACACCTGGTACCTCAAGGTATGTAGAAAAAACATTTAAAGCTGCGTCTATGGCCGAATCCCTGATTCTCCGAATCAGCATCAAATCTTCAGATTCATCTTCAGCTGAAGAGAATCAGGGACAGTGATCCGAATCAACAAATCGAATCACTTTACCTGATTTGGGTTGAATCCAAATCCAAATCAAATACAGCTCGGTTCGCATACCCCTATCAGGAATACTTTATCTGAAAAGCTTTAGACATAGTATGGTGTTTTTTGGTAGTTTTAAGACTGTTCTGCTTCAAAAAATATTTAAATTTAAATTAAAAGAAGATAAACTGCCAATACTTTGGGGTTTGACCTGAGACTTTGGTCCTCTTGTCCAGGCAACAAAACCAATTATTAGCATAGTTATTCTGTCAAATGCCATATACATGTTCTTATGGCAATTTAGAAAAACATGGCTAATAATACAAGTTCTTTAAGTAAGAACCTGGGTGTAACTCCAGCTTGGAAGTCAAAGTGTCATCCAAGTTGATTGTGAAGTGATGGCAATTACTGTCATGGGCAGTCTTTGCTTATGGTATCTCAACCTTGACTGCCTATACAAGCCAATTATGGTCAGTCTAGCAGTTGTATAACCTCTGCTTATAAAGCCATGGCTGGAATTGGGCTAGAAACTGTTGTTATGGTTGGTTGGGTGGAATTATGTTATGTGTATAGAGTAAGTGACATGCATCTTAGGAAAAGACACAGTGAATTTTGTGGGTTTGTCTTGCCCTTTTGCATTAGAATTGAATCTCTTGCTCAGCCCTGTGGGTGAACAGAAAAAATCCTAGAATGTTCTAGTCTGTAAAATCACTGACAGGACACTTGTGTCACTGAATGAACCAAGTTCCCCAAGCAGTCCAGCATGTAGAAAACCAGTTAATACTGCAGAGTTCAATTAATTCTGGCCAGAAACTGTTGACCAGTCTTGGCTATTAGCGCCATCCTTTTGTTAAGGTGTTGCTACTATAAATAGTTGTGGTACAACGTGGCACACTCAGAATAAAGTGAATGGAAAGGGACCATTTGTAAAGGTACCAGGCAATACCAAAAAAAGGGTAAATAAATTATTAGTACTAAGAAATATTAACTAAAATGCATAAAATCAATACCATATGGTCTTTCTGAAAACTTTGAACATGAAGAATATGAATCGAAGCAGCAGTCACGCATTTCTAATTCTTGTAGTACTATTTCATATTCTGTCTTTGCAAATAATACAGCTATGAGGTAAGCTTTATACAGCTTGAGGGGTTAATGTTTCTATACATTACTTACTT